ACGGTGGTAAGGATTTTGACTTCGTCTGCATCGGCAAGGTAAAGGCGCGCGGAGATGACAGTCGTCGCCCATACGAGGACGATGAAGCATGCAAGATAGAGCGCAATACCAGCTTTGGTGGCTTCGGTCGCGGCGAAAGTTGGTCCATCGCGGGAATCCGGGTCAATACCGCCCGCGACGATGAGGATAAAGGAGATGATCAAAGGTATGTGTACCATGAGTAGGATCCATTGCATCCGGCGCCCTTTGGGCCTGGTGGTGGTGTTGAGCAGACTGGTCGTCGCCATAAACAGTGGCGTGAGTCCCATGGTAGTCAGAATCGCAACACCACTCTCAATGCTCGTATTCGAGCTACTTCCTACGGGATACATTGTTGTGGCAGCCAGGTCCAGCGAGACCTGCGTCAGCCGACAGGCTCCTAACAACGTCAGCCAGATCCATGGTGCGCTCCGGCCCAGTCCCTGGCGGAAAACTAGCCAGATGGAGATGCAGGTGTAGATGAAGTAGATGATGAGGGTGATGATATTGACAATGGCCGCATATCTAAGCGCGACCGCCATTGATGGCGAGACATTGAGGAAGTTGTGGGAGACAAAGGAGTTGTGGTGTTGTCGTCTTCGCCCAGTCTGAGCGGGAGGGTCCGAGCGGAACTAGGTACAGTAGTCAGACGTAACGACCCGCTCTTGGCTCACGTATGGGAATCTTCACCATCGATCATCACGCTTCTTCATCGTTAGCGTTGTGGGAGATGATCGTATGCTCTCAAGGTTAAATTGACAGCATTGACTGATGGGACATCATCCGACAACCATGCAACACCACAAAGAAGCACTGCAACCGTCCAGGAATGACGAAGCCAAATGACATGTCCAGAGCTGATTCGATGATCTACACAAACTTTGCCACGCAGAGGGCTGTGCTTGTCATTCACACGAATACCGGCTCCATTGGCGGTCCCCCGACAGTTAAGTTTCTGCCGTATTACGCATGGTGTCTTTGCGGGGGAATTTAGATGAGCGGTGATACGGGACACTGCTGTTGGTGCCCAATTCTCAGTCGTCAACACGATATGATATTAACAGTCAAAAAAAGATACAAGACATTGGTGTTTTTGTGTCAATCAGTCAGACGTACCTTCACGCTAGAGGCGATATCTCTTTCGCTCTTGGATCAAGACATAGGAAGCACCATGTCTCGACGCGCATCTCGCATGTGCAGACTCCAAAGCAATTCCGATTGTCTGGACGGCAAGCCAAGAAGATACCAAGTAAAAATTCTTGGTTGTAACCGCCCAATGCCTTCATTCATATACCTGTTGAGTCTATTTTCTGCGACAAGAACGACTGGCTCAGCACTCGCCGCGCGGTCGTGCAGATGTTAATGAATACACGATTCCTTGTTCAGCTAGCCGTGGATCTGTCGGAAGCGCTAACCTTACTTCAGCCTTGTCTTGCACGTTCGTCGTGATGTGCTCCAAGTAGCATGAGGAAGCATTGCCAGGTCTGCAAAGAATTACAGGATTTCTTAGAAACCTGTGATCCAGGCCTGAATCGCAACACCTCGTCTGTTAGGCGATCGCATATTTGGCTATATATCCCCTCGCTGCTTATTATCCTGATGACCCAATCATGTGGCCTAACCAAACGGTGATCATGCTGCTTACTCGAGACAATTTATTGGGCTAAGATGGAGCGCTGCCAATCTTGATAAATCTAGGGACAGAATTCATGCCGAATGACTTGATCACTAGTCAAATCTCCTTTGACACCGTTAAAGCTGTCGACGCATTTGGTCCCCATGTTTCCTTCTTCCAATAGTGAACCCATTTCGAACAACAACGATCCTCCCACGAGCAACATCTCACGAACAACAGACATGTTAACACAGTTCATGAGTCCATGAAAGAGGAACCCAAAACAAAAAATGATGCTAATAATCGTTATCAATGACCATAATTCCAAGGGTATCATATGCAAACACCAAATCAACTCTACCAAAGGCCCAACCAAATGCCCAACCAAATCCCATCATCCAAAACATATCACCAACTCCCAAGCACCCTCTCAACCCTTGCCCTTCTCTCCTCTAAGCCCCCTAGATCAACATCACCGTCTTCCTCTTCTGCCGTAGCAGGAACCTGCACTTCACCGAACCGCTCCGCCACCCGTCCTGCCACCCTGACCGCCAAGGTCCTCGTCTTCGCCAACTCTGGTGCTAGAGGTGCATCCTTCCACACCAAGTTCGGCTGTATCTTTTCCCTTGGCTGGCGATACGGTTCTAGGAGCGAAAGCAGTGTGCGATAGGTATTTAGGCGATTTTGAAGCGTTTGTCGTTGTGCGGAGAGGTCTTGGAGGCGGGTGAGCATGGCAAGGTAGTCGTCTTGGGATACTTTGCTTAAAGAGGAGGAGGGGAAGGTGGAGGGCAATTTGGCAATGTTGGTGTCGAGGGTGAGGTCGTCGGACTGGTAGAGTATATTTGATCCTTCCTCTAGATCTACTTCTGTATCGTCTTCGTTGTCAGAGGGTATGGACTGGGCGCCGGCCTCCCAGTATAAAGTGTCGATTTGCTCGACGACGTGCTCGATCATTTGACGGGAGTAGACTTTGCGGGAGTGTTGTTTCAAGTTGCGATTCACTATGGTTATCAATTCTAGTCCCATCAAGGCTTTCATATTGTATTACCTTTATCTAAAACGCCTTTCAGTACGCCGAGCTCGATGCCATTGTCGTCTGCGATGCGCAACAATCGTTCCGAAGGTGTTATTCCACGCGATAAGAAGTGCTTTCGGGATTGCAGGAAGAGTTGCTTTTGCTCTACGACTGTACCCTGCTTAGACATTGCGCTTGGTACGTGTTGGCGTCGAATTCGGGCTTTTGTTTGTCGGTTGTAGATGAGTTTGGAGTTATCTGTTATGTGTTTTGCGACTGCGGGCGCTGTACTTGGGTAACTAGCGCGACGCGTTGAGCACGTGATGAGCTCCGCAGGGCTCAGGTAACGTGATCCACCACCGAGCGCCCACCTTATCTCATTCATCAGAACGCTCTGACGAGGCAAGTGTTATTCGTCCGGGTCGCAATAAGAAAAGTGTCCTGGTTATAAGCCTCACCTTACCTAAATTAGTTAACATCCTGCAGCTAGTAAATTAGTACTGCAGGGGATACTACTAGATGGCCTGCGACTAGTATTAATAGTATTAGTATATAGTATTAGTAGATATTAGTATCTATACCTAGTTATATAGTGTTGTAGAGTTTTTACCTATAGTAACTAGGCAATAGCTATAACCTAATATGCTATATTAACTAAAATCTATTAAAACACACCTAATTATTATACTTTTTATCTTATAGAAATATTACTTACTTAATCTATATTACTAACTAACTTAGATAACTCTTAGATATCCTCTAAGGCTTTATATAAGGTTATTATAGAGCCCTATACTAGTAGTATTATATATAATACTAAAGTTTTTAATAAGTAGAGCTCTAAGTTAGGTAGTAACTCTAATATTAATAAGCCTAATTAGGTAGCTATATAACCCCTAGAGGATAGGGATAAAGATAAGGAGACTAAGTAGGAAGAAATATTAGATTCTAGGTTAGATTCTAACCTAGTTATTCTATCTAATACTCCTAATATTCTATATACGCCTTGTAGCTATTAATATTATAATTACTACCCTTACTACTAGGATTATATAGGCGTATAGGGTAAGGTTAGTAAAGGAGACTATAATCTTACTAACCTCTAGGACCTAATAAGTATTAAGCGTAACTATCCCCTACTACCTAAGGCTATCTACCTAAGCTTTAATAAGGTAATAGAGGCTATTAATAAGTAGGGTAAGACCTATAGAGTAGCGTATAACTACTTTAAGTAGAAGTAAGGTAGTTAGTATAGGCTTAATATACGCTATAACTATAAAGGTAAGCGTTATAATAGGAAGAAATAGCGCCTAGAGCACGCCTAGCCTAGGGCAAGTACTAGTAAATATAGCTACCTTATATAATTTTAGGTTATAGCTAAAGATTACACTAATTTAGGTAGTTAATAGAGGGTAAAATAGGCTTAAAACTACTAGAGTATTACTTATAATTATCCTCCTATAGAGAATTCCTATAGTATAGCAAGGTATTGCTAGGTAACACGCACCCTAAATATAAGGGAGTAACTATAGAAGATTTTTAAGATAGCGCGTGGCTTAAAATAAGCATTATTAATACTATAAGACACGTATCTAGATACTATTTTTTTATAGTAAGATATATATAATAAGTATTAGTAATAGTAGTAAGTAGAGCTAGGTAATAAGATAATAATAGAGGCGTTAATAGACAAGTTAGATAGGAATAAGTACTAGCACTAGTAAGTTATTATAGGATTTTATTATAGGATTTTGCTAGTGTTAAGGAAACTTTAGTGTTGCTCTCGCTTACTTAGCTACGCATAGGCTACTTAGTAGCCTATACGTGGCTATAACACTAACTATTACAATATCTTATAATATTTCTTATAGTGTTAAGGTTTTAATTTTCTTATTTTTTAGTTTAAAATAACTTAACCTAACTATATAGACTATCTAGTAATCTATACGTAGCTTACTAATACTATAAAATATACATAGTATTAATTTAGATAACTATATTACTACTATTATTTTTATCTACCTAGGCTATATTTAACTGCTAAAAAAGTCGCCTAACGCGCTTATTATTAACTACACTTTTAAGATAAATAAATACAACTTTCTACTACTAAATTTAGTAGGCTTAAGTAGTTATAATTAAACTATCTACCTTAGGGTTGCGCTTATTAACTACTAAGATAAGGCTACTTTTAAATAGGTGCTTACCTAACTCTATAACTTATTTACTAAGCACTCTATATCTATATAACTTTAGGTAACTAATTAGGATTAAGCACTTATTAACGCGCTTGAATTAGTATATAATAACCCTAGGATTCTCCTCTATTATTAGCACCTTAATAAGGACGTTCTTACCTATCTATGCTTAAAGATTTCTACTAAGTTTAGGCAACAACGTAAAGGTTGCGTTTAGGTAGATAATAAGTGTATAATAGAGTTTATAGGGCTCTATTATAAGCTACTTAAGTTACCTACTAAAGTAGACTATGCTAGTAATTTATAGAAGTGCAAGAACCTTTTAGCTACTACTACTAGTTATCTTAGGTAGTATTAGTTAGACCTTTACGCTAATAAGCTTGTAAGCTATTATATTAACTAATAACCTTACTTTAGGCTTACTATAATAAGTAAAGTAAAGGGCGCCTACTACGCGATTAAAGACTAGCTACGCAGTAGCTAGAGTAATATCCTTACCCTATTTAGGTAGTTACTCTAGTTCTATAATAAATATATACATACTATAGAACTTATAGATATAGCTACTAATTACTAGCTTTATTTTAACTACTAGGGGTACCTATTTATAGTAGTATTTAGCCGTATAATAAGGTATACCCTATTAGTAACTATAAAAACCTTAATTAAAGCTTATAATAAGATCCGCAAACAATAGGTAGATCCTACCTACTGCTTTACTACCTGTAATAGGGGATATACTACCTCGCTTAGTCTACCCTATTAGTATAAACTTGCAGATCTTAAGCTTTATTTAATAGCCCTATAAGCTAGCAATTACTACCTATATTAGTAGGTTAATTATAGATAGGCTCCTAGCCTTACACTCGCTACCACCCCTTATAAGCCTAAGACTATTATTACTAATTAACGCGTAAAACGCTCTTACTATAAAGGCGCTAGGTAGTCTAGTATAAGGCGCAAGCCTACTATAGCTAAATAGCTTAATAATAATAACCTAGCCTTACTACTAGCCTTAATACTAGCCTTAATACTAGCCTATATAAGGTAGCAGCGACCTACTAAGTAGGTATATATAGTCCCTTGCCTACCCTAAACCTAGCCTCTACCTTGCTTATAACCTCTACCTTTACTATAACCCCTACTAGCCTCTGCCTATCTATATGCTCCTTACTCTTACCTATAACCTCTACCTCTACTATAGTTACCTATACTATAGTATTATTACTAACCTTAATATTAATAGCTACTACTACTACTACTACTAACTTAATATATATTATATACTACTAATTTTAACTACTAAAATTAGCCTTCTAATAGTTAAATTAGTAGTTAAATAGGCTACCTATAGTAACTAGTATACCTATATTTTCTACTATAGTAGCTACTATAGTAGCTACTAACCTAGCCACACGCTCTATAACTACTAGCCCCTCTACTAAATCCCTATATAGCTCCTAGTACTCTAGCAGAGCTAGAGTACTACAGAGGCTTGTAGCTAAGCCGCGCGTCTTATTACGTTAGATAATTATTTTTCTATAAGGGGTGAAAATATAGATATATAGCTAATATACTAAGTTATAGCAAGTTAATCCTTTTCCTTTACTATAGTAATACTACTAATACTATACACTAATACTATTAGTACTAGTTGCGGGCTATCTAGCGGCATCCCCTGCAGTACTAATTTACTAGCTGTCAGATATTAACTAATTTGGGTAAGGTAAGGCTTATAACTAGGACACTTTTCTTATTGCAACCTAGACGAATAACGTTTCCCCTCTAACGAGCTTTTACCCCTGCTAGTACAACGCTAAAAACTCCTAGGAACTCTAAAGGGATTAGCGTTGCGCTAAAAGCTCCTTAACTAATCACGCTGGCCGCAAGGCAAAGCTCGCTAGAGCGTCTAAGGAATAATAGGACAGGTTTTAGTAATACTTAGATTTAGGTTGTATAAGGATATAGTATATAACTTAACCTAGTATATCCTATCTACTATAACACGTTATAGTCCTGCCTCTATAAGCAAATTAATATTTAAGATATTCTCTATTAATTATATATATTATAGCTATACCTAGCTTATTTTCTTAGATATATAGCCCTCCTCTAAATTAACCATCTAGCCTACTCTTATCTATACTATTAGCCCTTAATACGCTATTATAGGGCTATCTTAGCTCTATTAAACTAGCAATAAATATTGCTATAATATATAGTACTAAAGATAAGGATATCTTTAGTAGTAACGCAGGCTAGGAGTCTATACTAACCCCTATAGGTAGCTACAAAGGTCGCGAATATTTATATAAGCATGCTAAATTAGAAGTAGTTATTTAAACGCTTTAACAAGTTAGGTAGTTATTTAAAGAAATAGTAGAGGCATAGGCTAGCCTTAAGGATTGTAGTTGCTAAGTAGACGTACAACTATCCTATTAAAGATACTATAGGTAGAAAGTGTAACAACTTAGGTAGGTAGGGCATCTAATAGGTATCCTATACAACTTAAAGGTATATAGGAGTGCGCGTCTATATAGAAAAGGATAAGATTCCTATACCTATAGGTCTTGTATAAAAGGATAAGAAGAATATACCTATCCTAATTATAGGCGAGCTGCTCTCTATATATATTAGTAAGTTAGGCCTTTATTAGGCCTAACTTAGTATAGAATAATAGGCAAGCAATTCTACCTTATTATTATAGTACCCCCTCCTATAGAAAAAGGATAGTCCCTATCCTTATAATTAGGTTTAGATCCCTCCTTAAAGAAAAGTTCTTACAAAATAATTCTACCTTTACCTTTACCTTTACCTTTACTTCTAGCTACCTAGGGTATAGACCCCTATCTATAGCCTGCCTATATCTAGCCCTCTACCTACTAACTTTCTTACTCCTATTAAACTAATAGGGAGAGTAACCTATTTAAACAAGGAGAAGTAGGAGGGGCAAGGTTTAATAGTAGTGATCCTATAGTAGAGGATATAAATT